ATATTAAATTAATCATTTAATTAAATTAATTATCTTAATTAATTAATTTTTAATCTTCTATTTGCCTTAATCTTGTTAAAAAAATAAAAAATAAAAAGTTATCTCTTTTATTTCAATTTCGCACAAAACTTTCATGTTCAAGCACTTTAGTCTAAAAGTTTCAAACTTTTTCAAATCAGTCCTTTATGTTTTGAATTTAATCAAATCAGCCCTTCATGTTTCGAATTTAATCAAATTAGTCCCTTTAATTTTTATTTGTTCTTATGATGCACACATGTCTTTGATTTTGTTCATTTTAGTCCAAAATTTAAAAAATGTTTCAATAAGTTTTATCTTTCTTTTTTTTTTTTTTTTGTAAAGTTAAGCATAAACATAATGAATAAATTGAATTAAAACTCCAATGTTAAAGTATGCAACCGTGTTTAAATGGAGAATTGTGAGGTGCGCGTATGCCCTTCCTCACTCCTAATTGAGCTTTCGAGCCTTGATCTCTGCACAGACCCGTTTTAGGTAACTTGTCCCACCTTATAATTTGGATGAGTGGCAACTCCCTTTTCTTTATATTTTTCATACTTAATAATAAATTTTCATTTTTTTGAAATTTTGAGTGTGGTCGTCAACAGTACCCAATCTTAGAATTAGAAATCTTACCTTGTTAGGAAAATGGTGGGCAAGGTTTGAAGATGAGGAAAGAGGTTTGTGGAAAAAGGTGGTGGTGGAGAAATACTACAAAGGTGGAGATGCAATGGGAGTTGGGCTATGAGGAGGAGGAGATTATCTAAAGTGTGGGGAGATATTGTATCAATTAGTAGAGGTGTAGAGGTGTCCAAGAAGGAGGGCCAATGGTGCCAGAAATTTAATTGGAAAAGGACTTTGTTGGGGAGGGAATTAGAGGAGGAGGAGTTATTGGGGTTGATAGAGGGCGTGAGAATACAGGTTGGACAAGAGGATAAAATGATTTGGAAATTTGATGGAACTGGAGTGTACACATCCAAAAAAGCCTATAGCCTCTTGACTTTAGATCAAAGGATCTTGGATGCTGTTTGATGCAAAGCAATTTGGAATAATTTTCTCATTGGGAAGGTGAGTTTTTTTGCTTGGAGATTGTTTCTAGACAAGTTTCCAACAAAAAGGAATTTGAGTTCAAGAGGGATTAACATGGATGGTGATAATAATTTCTACGTTTTTTGTGGGAAAGTGGTGGAAGATGTAGATCATGTTTTTGTGCAATGCTCATTTACTTATAATGTGTGGATGAAGATCTTACCTTGGTAGGGCATCCATGCAACAGTTGGTGGTAGCATGAATTATGCTTCTTGGCAACTTAGTCAACGGTGGCAGTATGACAAAATGCAAGCTATCTGGTCCTTTTTGTTCATCTCAATCATGTGGCATCTTTGGGACCTAAGAAATAAAGTGATCTTTAAAAAGGTGGGGATGGATGTTGATATAAAGAGTTGGTGGATGTGGGTTCTCATTGTATGATTGGATTATTTGTCCGAAGAGTGTTTTAGAATAATAGATGTTTAAAATGTAATAGTAAAAATGTGATGTAAATGGGTAGGAGTAACCCTTATACTCCAACATAATAAAATTTTCTTTTGATGATAAAAAAAAAAAAAAGAAAGTAACTTCGTTGAAAAGTAAATTAAAGCATGTAACATCAATCAAACATGAACCCATGATGAACATCTGTAAATAGGCTTAATGTCAGTAAAAATCCCTGAACTTTGAAAAAGGAGTCATTATCATCCCTCTACTAAAAAAGAATCCGTAATAATCCTTAAACTTTGGTGAGGAGGCCAAGTGTCATTCTTCTGTCAACGGAAATCTTGATGTCGTCCAAAAGTTTGTTCAGCTCTCTATGAATTTCAATGGTGTTTCCTATTTGGCACTGAAGTGGCACCAACTAGGACCCTTTTTTTATTTTTTTTGCCAACATGTATTATGGATCCATTTGACTAGAAATGGATCTTTTTTTTGGCTTAATTTAACAAATCATCTACTAACTTGCCTATATTTTTTAGTTTCGTCTATTATCTTTGGATTCTTCCATTGTTGTCTACTATCTTTCAAATTCATTTCAATTTTGTCTAGTCCGTTATCTTTAACGGAAACATGCATATTCTTCAAGAGAATAGTTAGCCCTCTAACTATATTTGTTTTAATCTTTTAGTCCTTAATTTTATATTTCCCTTGAAAACAGCTTTTATTCTTATCTTGCTAAATTTTTTAATTCTTCTAAAGCTGACGCTCTGCATACTTTATAGACATATCTGTCCCATAGTAACTCATCAGTTCTATAGGGTATCATTCCTTCTAGTGCTATAATTTTTGTTATAATATCAATCTATTGATCATAAAATCTTATTGACTTTCTTAATTCCATTCTTAAAAACATTGTTTTTTGGCTCTAATAACAAAATTTTTCTGGGGTTTTTGGAACCTAATTCAGACTACAAATTAGTGTGAAACTAGTATGCTAAGTTCAGCAGAATCAGATCTATTAAGCGGCTAGTATAGATAATCTTTGCTTAGCCTTTTAGAGTCTTTTTAAATCCTCGTTGAAATCTACTACTGTTCGCTTTAATTTTTTGAGTTTCTTGAAAAGATAGTAATCATCTAGATCTTCAATATTATTTATTTTTTCTAAAATATTCACTTTTTTATTTCCATAATATTCACATTGCTACTCATAAACCACTTTATCTACAATTATTTCTTGAATAGAGTCAAGCATTAAAGTATTCTAAATAAGTTTCTAAGATGAACTTTTCTATTTAAAATATAAGAGGTCAAGCACTATTTCTCTATTATATCTAATCTAAGAAACAATAATGTTAAAGAATAATAGGAATGTTTCTATGCCCACGTAGCTTCCGCATAAAAAAGAATGAGTTAGAACTATACTTAAAAATCTCTTAGTCTAGCCTTTGGTCAAGCAGATGCTTCCTTCATTCAACCCTCCATGCCACACTCTGGCTACACAAGTATTCGAAAAGGACTAGTGATCTCATTGCTATCTAAGTATCTTCAGCAATTCTTCTCATTATTTTCTATGATGTAAATCAGGAAGGATAGAAACACAAGAATTATTCTAAAACGTATTTTTAATTCTCAGAAGAGAAAGGGAAAGTTCCCATTCCTCTTGAAGGGTGTTTACAACTGCATGGTTGAAGGCTCTTCAAGTAAGGTATTTGGATGTTAAAATGCCCGATACCTATTACAACTTATAAAAGGCTTTTTATAGTGCTCCTTTGAATCTTTTATTTCGTCATTGTTGACGATTAAAATTTAAATTATTGCCTGGTGATCCAGACTTATTTCTTGCTTTTGCTAAAGCAGATTACATGGAATCTC